TTGATTCAACAAGGTGCTGAAAGCATTCTTTAGAAATGTTGGCCCATATTGATAGGATAGCATCTTGCAGTTGATGGAGATTTGTGGGATGCACATCCAGGGCACGAAGCTCCCGTTCCACCACATCCCAAAGATGCTCTATTGGGTTGAGATCTGGTGACTGTGGGGGCCATTTTAGTACAGTGAACTCATTGTCATGTTCAAGAAAGAATGATTGAAATTTGAAATGATTGGAGCTTTGTGACATGGTGCATTATCCTGCTGGAAGTAGCCATCAGACGATGGGTACATGGTGGCCATAAAGGGATGGACATGGTCAGAAACAATGCTCAGGTAGGCCGCGGCATTTAAACGATGCCCAATTGGCACTAAGGGGCCTAAAGTGTGCCAAAAAATACATCCTCCACACCATTACACCACCACCAGCAGCCTGCACAGTGGTAACAAGGCATGATGGATCCATGTTCTCATTCTGTTTACGCCAAATTCTGACTCTACCATCTGAATGTCTCAACAGAAATCGAGACTCATCAGACCAGGCAACATTTTTCCAGTCTTCAACTGTCCAATTTTGGTGAGCTCTTGCAAATTGTAGCCTCTTTTTCCTATTTGTAGTGGAGATGAGTGGTACCCGGTGGGGTCTTCTGCTGTTGTAGCCCATCCGCCTCAAGGTTGTGCGTGTTGTGGCTTCACAAATGCTTTGCCGCATACCTCGGTTGTAACGAGTGGTTATTTCAGTCAAAGTTGCTCTTCTATCAGCTTGAATCAGTCGGCCCATTCTCCTCTGACCTCTAGCATCAACGAGGCATTTTCGCCCACAGGACTGCCGCATACTGGATGTTTTTCCCTTTTCACACCGTTCTTTGTAAACCCTAGAAATGGTTGTGTGTGAAAATCCCAGTAACTGAGCAGATTGTGAAATACTCAGACCGGCCCGTCTGGCACCAACAACCATGCCACGCTCAAAATTGCTTAAATCACCTTTCTTTCCCATTCTGACATTCAGTTTGGAGTTCAGGAGATTGTCTTGACCAGGACCACACCCCTAAATGCATTGAAGCAACTGCCATGTGATTTGTTGATTAGATAATTGCATTAATGAGAAATTGAACAGGTGTTCCTAATAATCCTTTAGGTGAGTGTATGTTTGGTGTGTCTGTTCATTCCCTGTCTGGTCATTGCAGTGTGTTTACATTCAGTCGTGTCTTGTGTGTGGAGTGTTCTGCCTGATCTTCTGCTGTTTAAGTCTGTTGGATTTTGGATGCCTCAACTGCCTGTCAGCCTAAGGACCTGCTTTTGTTGGAATTAAAATCCCGGAACTGCATCTCTGCTCCAGTGTCTTGCGTTTGGGCTCTCTCTTATTTGCACTTCATCTCAGACTCATGACAGAATGACCGGACCAGTAAAGAGCCCAGCAGACACACTTACTGAGGAACAATCTGAACTGTTAAGGGATTTACTGGAGCTGATAAGCATGTGGTTTGAGGCCAGTCATTGTCACCTTAAGGAGGCTATTGTTGTTCTCGCCAGGAACACTGGCAGGACACTGGCCACGAGGCCAGGAGCAGCAGACTCTTTCCCGGATTGGGTGGTTGACTTCCTCCACACCTCAGCTCATTATTGGTTCCTCAGCCCGTTAGCCTGGAATCGGCTAATGCCCGGAAAGCTCCCCTCAGGCCATCTGTTCCCCTCTGCTAGTTCCCAAAGGACTTATTCTCTGCCTGCTAGCTGCAGGCCGGGAAGCATCCTCCTGTCCTGCCCGGCTAGTGAAGCTAATCGTCCGCCTGTATCGTGTTTGACTAGTGAAGCTAGTCCTCTAGCCCTGCTAGCCCTTTTCCAGTTTATCAGTGGTCCGACTGACACCAGCCCCAAGGTCTCTGTCGGTGGAGTCCTGCCCCCAGAGTCTGTCGGTCGGACCACCGACAGACTCCCTCATCAGTGGTCCAGTTGACACCAGCTCTGAGGTTTACGTCGGATGTCCAGCCGACCCCTGAAAAAACAAACTAGTATTTGCAAAAGACACACTTTGGGCCATCTTCTAACCTGCTGTAAACCCGAATGCTTAGTCATTCTCAAGAATAAAAGTACAACTACATTGATACATGTCAAATTTTCTTTATTAAACAATCATTATCTAAACTTGCAACATCTCCAGCCTTTTCTATATTTCACAGAAACAAAATATGTCACAGTGAAATTTGTTTGACTGAATCAAACATTCAATCAATAATAAAATTGTTTGTTGTTAGTCGCAGAACTAATCTCAGAAGCAGCGCCATTAAAATGAGAAATGAAAAATGAAATTTCAGTCTTATTATTTTATAACCAACAATTAGTGAAGAACCCTGATTCATTAACACTCCTGTACAAACTAACTTAACAGCAAAGTCCTTGAAGCTGGACAAACTAAAAAAATTAAGTGGCCATGCATCATTTTACTCCATAACTGCACTTATTATGATTGTTGTTGCAATGGAAAAATTGACTTTCTCGTCCCTCTCCTCTCTCCTCCTGTCACTTCCTGCAGGTGTTTCTGGCTCTGGATCTGTGGTTGCGGGTCACCTGCTGCCCCCGTGTTCCTGCTCGACACCCTCTGCTAAAACGACTATTGTTACTAGTCCTATTATTATTATTGTTATTATAATCATTAACATTGCGATTGTTATCATTAACACTACTGTAAATATCTGTACCATTTTTCATTTAGTCTATAGCAACATCAGTAGCAACATCACCTTTACTGTCTGTACCTCTGTGTGTGGATATTGTGTAGGCTGCCTCTCTCTCCTCTGTCTCTCTCTCTCTCTCTCTCTCTCTCTCTCTCTCTCTCTCTCTCTCTCTCCTTCACCCCAAACCGGTCGAGGCAGATGGCCGCCCACCCTGAACCATGGTTCTGCTCGAGGTTTCTGCCTCTTAAAGGAAGTTTTTCCTTGCCTCTGTCTCCTAGTGCTGCTCTTGGTGGGAACTGTTGGGCTTCTGTAAATAACATCACAGAGTACGGTCTAGACCTGCTCTCTGTGCAAAGGATAGATCAAGCTAAGCAACAGTACAAGTGCATCGTTCAACCTGGGGAGATCACTCACAATTTCCTCTTCAACTACAACAGAAACGGTCTCAGAGTTGAAGTGGACGGCAGCAGGGACGTCGTCAGTGACCACAGTGAGGAGAGCCACAGGCGTCTCAGCAATGTCTGGTTCATATTTGCACTGAAAAATACAAACAATCCAATTATGAGGATAATTTTAAAAGACAGGTTGTAAGTCATGCACTGTATGCTTATCGGTTCCCCCCACAAACTGAAAGCATAGGTTCATATTTTTCCAAATCTGGCTTGATACAACACTCACATGCCAGTTTGTTAAGTGTTACTGGTGGCTGTAATGATTCCTTCTGGCTATACTGGCCCTAGATTCTTTTCCTACTCTGGCTCAACTGTAAGACATTGAGGATGATGAATGCACTGTTAAGTTCATAAGAAACTGTTACTCTTTGTTACCTCCCCAGCTTATCTAGGGGTGGGGGACGAACAAAAGATTAATAACCTGGGTGGAAAAACCAAGGACAACTCAAAAAGTGTAAAAGCATTTTGAGCGGTCGAAAAGACTAGAAATGCGCTATACAAATACGGAGCATTTACATGTTTGTCCTTCATTTAACCACATGGTACCTGCTACCTATTTCCAAGAGAAATGGCTAAAATAACGAACCCAAAATAAATCAGTAATATCTCCTTGTCACGGACCACCATCTCTGTGGTTGAGTATGTGCTATGACTACTATAGCATTGCAGTCAAGTTGCATGTTTGGTACCCAGTAGACCTGGGTTCAAATCCGGATGGGGTTACTGCTTTGGCCTTTCCATCACACTCCTCAACCATTAGGCCTAGGTGCATAATTCTGATCTCCTTTGAAAGGTCAGAAGCTAAGGAAAATAAATCATTGTACATAATCATATTTATTTTACCATTACAGACTACATGGAGATGCAATACAGAAAAAAATTTATATTTTCATCCTTGCCTGGTAAAAAAAGCTCTATTTTAATTCAATAAACCATCAAAACCATCACAAGGTAGATTATAATGCACCTGAATATCTTCTAATACACCTAAAATACAACTACAACTGTAAATTTGATGAAAAGAAACTGATGTACAACAGTTATTACACAATCTTTCAAAAATAAAGCATGCGAATGTCCATGTTTTGGCCATATTTACTGTTCACTTTTATTGGGAGTTATCTTTAAAACACTATTTCTCTCCACACTTCCACATTCCAAATAACAAAGCAGCAAACACTATGCCTTACAGGCCACAGCTTCAGAACAGAAAATCCTTCAGGGCTGTAAGTGGGCTCTTTAAGACATCTGGCAGGCCGCCATCTTGGTGAGGTCGGCTTCTTCACTAAGTTTTGTTTCTGTCTTCAGATTGAAGTAGAGAACAAGAGTTTGCTTTTTTTATCGGCCTCTGCTGGTGACCGTAGGAGCTACACAGACATGCAGGATATCAATCGACAAACAAAGTACAACAGCAAACAACAGTGAAAATCAATTAGCTGCCCGGCAGGTATTGGGAAGGTCTGGTAACAAGAGGTTAACATTCACTGGTTTCTTTCTGTGTGTGTGTGTGTGTGTGTAAGTTTGCATTTGTGCCTAAAACATGCAGCCAGTCCTCATTTCTGTCATGCATCTGCCCTCCAATATAAATATGTGCATGGTTTCATGTGAGTGACCAGGCAGCTACCTGATGGGTAAGTTCTGATGCCTGTCTACCCATTGGTTTTATCTCTGTCCTGTGTGAGTATGTGGAGGATGGGTGGATTTGTGTAAGTGTGTGTTTGTTTGTGCCTAAAACATGCAGCCAGTCCTCATTTCTGTCATGCATCTGCCCTCCAATATAAATATGTGCATGGTTTCATGTGAGTGACCAGGCAGCTACCTGATGGGTAAGTTCTGATGCCTGTCTACCCATTGGTTTTATCTCTGTCCTTTTATGGTAAGGGTGGGGTGTGTACTAAGATGGGAACAGGTGAATTCTGACACCCGGTTTCACTTGCTGTCACCTTCTTCTCTGCATCGCACGGTAAGACTTTGTCTCATTATTTGGTCCTTTCAGTATTTTCTTTTCATGAGGATTAAAGTGTTATTCTGTAGTTGGGTTGGTAAATAATATCACAGAGCCTGGTCTAGACCTGCTCTTTATGAAAAGTCACATGAGATAAATGATTGGTGCAGTATAAATAAAACTGAACTTAAGGCAAGTTTATGGATAGATTCACTATCAGCACTGTGAATCCAGATCCTGAAGAAACTCTGATTATATTCATGTATGCAGCACAGCTCTTCTGTCGGTGAAGGACGAAGACATGGACGGCAACACCACTGTGAATGATGTAAAAGCAGGTACACACAAACACACACAGTCACAGGCAAGTCTTGTGTTCCAAACCACTGACTGTTGTCGTGGAAATTATATTCCTGGGGACCAGAGGTTCTGTCTCCTAAAGTCTAGCCCCGAGCAAAGGGATACATCATCATTTACACAGTCTAGGTTTCTATGTTTTGGGGAACAGAGATCCTCTCTCAGTCTTGAATGAACAGTCCATGAGAGGAGAGGAACAACAAGAGGGGAAACACCAAAACTCAGAGCTCACAGCTCTGACCTAAACCCTAGAAAATGTGGACAGACCAACATAGGGAGTATAGGAGAGGAAAGTTTAAGGATAAAACACAATACATAATAATAATAATACGAAAAGAACATACATAAAAGATTTGTCAGGATCGGTGGGTACGCAAAGCACCAAGACATGAACTGAGACGCAGAACTAGGAGTTAAGACACAGAGAGAACAGAGAACACAAGACCAGGAACCGGACCTGAAAACAGGAAACACGACAAATGACTAACAGAATGGAGGAGGGAACAGAGATGGAACTGATTGGGAAACAAGACAACACTAAACATGGAACAGAACAGCAAATAAGGGAAACACCAAGAAACAGTGTGACTAGATTAAACGTAAGAGGACACAATTTTCTGCCATAACAATCCTCTCTCTGCCCATATATGGACATCCAAATACAGAAAACTGACAATAGAAAAGTAGCTGTCACCAATTTTGCAGAGCATAGACATTATGGGCATCAAACATATTTATATTTGTACTCATCTTGGGTGAGAACCTTGGCTATCAAATATCATGTATAAAATATTCATAACTGATTTGTGGTGTTGTATCTATATATTGTCTCCTAGATTAACCTGCAGGATAAAACAGGGACATCTATGAAAGCTACAAGTGTGAATGTTTCTTTGCAGGACTACTTTTGTGTCTGAGACATTTGTTTTTTTTAAAAACTGTTGCCTGGTTCCATCAGATAAAAGCTTTTCCAAGTGTATGCATTACTCGCCAATCGAATGATCCTGTCACTGGAAAGAAATAGATAATAAAGAGTTTGCTCTTTATTTGTGGATGAATTCCATAAAATGAATTCAATTAGTCTTTCAGACAGTCACATGTTAATATCTCAATATTTAACCGTTACAAGCTTTGACAGTTGATTGTAATTAAAGTATCCACCATCTCCATCTTTTGTTAATTGTACACCTACATCAACAGAGACTTGATTCAAACCCGGCCGCGATTTGATTTCTTTTGTTAAACTAATTTGGGACCCCTCTGGGCACCGCTTGATGATCATTGGAGGAAAAGTCTGGGATGGAGCATTTTTGCCTGTGAGGCTGTGAGGCTTCATATGGCATGAAAAGGACCTCCAATGCCAATACTACTCTTGAGCATGTACCTCTCAATCCTTCCGGCAGGAGTGGATATTTAGCCTATGTTTCTAACAGGGCCGTGTCGACTTTGTAGTCGCTTGTGAGCATGCATTCCCAGCCCTGGCCGGTGTCGGGCGGGCGTCGGAGAGTGGGGAAGGTTTAAATTTGGAAACTACAGGTGAGCGTTCCATGCAGGCTGTGTAAGGCAGAGGCAACTGCCTAGAGCGTACATGAATATTAAAATCGCCACAAAGAACAATTCTGTCATAATTTAAAACCAGAGTAGATAAAAATGCTCCAGGTGGTTTTGGGGGGCGATAAATTATAACAAATATGACAGGTTGCAGCCCTCCAACTTTAAGAGTGAGAACTTCAAAGGAGCTAAATTCATCACAGCGTACTTGATGACATTTTAAATTTTTCCTATACACGCTCACTAGCCCACCACCACGACCACTGACCCTCGGTCGACTAAAGCAATCATATTGAGGCGGACACAGTTCAGCTAGCTGGCTATAGTCATTCATCTGCAACCAGGATTCAGTTAAAAACATAAAATCTAGATTTGCAGACAAGATAAAATCATTTAAGATAAAAGTCTTACTTGAAAGTGATCTCACATTGAAGAGAGCCATTTTAAATGAGTTTGTTCTGGGTGCTGGAGTTGGTGCAGTTGTCCTAATCCTTAAGAGATTACTATGATTTCTGTGTGGGATGTGCACATTTCGGTTTACTGGTCTATGCGTGATGATGACAGGAATAGAAGTCTGTGGAAGTTTGTTAAAAATGTCAGCCGTGGTGGCACCGGAGAAGCAGTGAGTGGTAGCGTTAAAGAAACGGAGGTTTCTGGTTATGGAGTCACCAATTATTAGTGTGGTTGGGGAGAAAAGAGGACGAGGAGATGCCGGTTGTGTGGTTCCAGAGCAGGACTGAGCAGAATCTGCTTCAACACTGCGTGCGGACTGAGGATGGAGTGTGTGAGCTGCCGAGTGTTGTGTTGGAGTAGCAGTAACAGACCTGAGAGAAGGGCTACCCGACGGTGCAGGGTAGAGACGGCCTCGGGAGCGTCTGAGCGCAGCCTCCTTCAGGATCCTACGTCGGGAAGCGGAGGTTTTTGACCGGGATGACGGCCGCCGATCAGGCCCGGCGGCAGACCGGCGGCCCAGTGCAGGAGATGTAGCCGGTGGAGGAGATGCAACAGTGTCGGCAGGCACTGTCCGCCGCAGGTGCATCCGCTGGATGGACCGGGGCATCGCCAGACAGGGCTGCATAGCGGTTAGAGAGGCCGATGTGCGGAGGAGAGGCAGCCCCGTCAGAGCCTCTCTTGCAGCCATGGACCACCACTTCAGCGATGGTTCACTGATGCTTCAGAGTCGAGCAGGATGAAAGCCTGGGAAGACTAGAGGGGTCCCATAACACGGTGTCCTGGATGTTAGCAGTTGCGCTAAGAGAAACAGTCTGTTTGGCTTGTACTGAAGCCACATTCATAAAGCCAGTCAGCAGAGAATCTTTCTCTTTGAGTTCCTCTGAAAGTCGTCAGATGTCTTCCATAAGGAGTGTGCAGGGGGCAGAGTTATCTCGGCTAGTATAGTCACCGGACATTTGTTGTGTTCAGTAGCGTTGATAAAGTTTTTATGGTCATCTAGCTTAAAATCCATGTCGGATGACTAAAATCCTTAACCCACATAAAACTTAAGTTAAAATAAAAGGATATAAAAAACATAAAAGTGTGGATTAAAACTGGATATGAGTTAGGTTTAAGACGGAGCTTTTGACAGGTAGCTACAGATGCCAACACATGCGCAGAGTACAGATTACGTCACACACACACACACAGGTAGGAGCTATTGATAGTGTAGTGTAAACTCTTGTTAATCATTCATTTGTGCTGTAGGCAATATCAAATAGTTAAAGGAAAAACTTTACAAAAAAACGGTTAAAGCATTAAAACTGTTATTCACTAATATTATTGAAATGTGTTAGTCCAGCAACCTTCATTCAGTCCTTATTCAACCTCCCCCCTTTTGTCCATGTGGTCCCTTGGGACACACATGAGCAACCTTCTGGACCATGTTTTGAAAGGGTTAAACAATAACATTCAACAACATGGAATGAGCTGACAGCATCCGTTCTGGCTTCTCCTGTTTGAATCTGTTAGTGTGATTTTTATCATTAAAGGGCAGCAAATGGGTGCAGACACACAAACATCCAGTTCAGTATAAAATAAGCAACAGAAACAATAAGCAACAGGACAACAAAGCACCAGGCCTACCCCCTAACCCTTTCCCCCCCAGATATAGTGTCAGGTACCTGTCTTCTTGTCAACCACCCAAGTGAGAACGCAGGTCAAAGGTCAGGTCTTGGTAGTCCCCGAGTACGGCGGACTGTGGAGAGCCTTTTCAGTTAGTGAGGCTCTGGCCTCTCAGTGAACAGTTTTGAGTCTTTCAAGTGCACTGTTTTTCACCATGAATCATGGGAGAGGTATTCATCTTTCTTTAACCGTGGTTGACCATTAGGATCCTTAGTCTACAAAATTGTCATCACATCTGTATGGTGATTGGTTTTTGAATAGATAGAAAAGGCTTGTACACCGTGGGAGGAAGAGACGGACTCTCATTGTGATCACATGTCCCAGGTTTATCCTGTCTGTTCTAATTGCAATTGAGACAGACTAGCCTTGTGTGTGGCCATTGAGAGCTAACCACTTTAGCAAAAATGGTCATCTCAGCATGCTTCTTGTGATGGACAGCAGAACAAAACCGACCAGCTGCATGGCTAATGTAAAATTTTTTACCTGGCCTTTGAATCACCAGCAGAGAAATGTGTGGCATTTCACGTTGGTGACGTACTGCGGTAATCGTGCTGCCTCATTTCCGTTTCCGGTACTTGTGTGTTGGTAGTGTGTTGTACTGCTCTCGCTAAATACCAGTTAAATTTGTTCAATTACAGCGGCTAACTGTCCGCTAAAAACTTATTCTTATAGTAATTTTGCCTAAGCACTCACAATTCTTTCTATCTTTTGGTGACTTCTGTTCAATCTTATAGTTGTTCAAAAGTTTTGGACGAAATTAGCTCAGCAGCATTCATGTCAACGTTGAGAATGACAGCTTCAGTACTGCGTTTATCTCTCTGTTAGATTCCATTGGCTTCTCTCAGAGTGTTCATGAACCGACTCACTGTTTTAACCACACCCTCGACCTTGTTCTGGTATATGGTATTGAAATTGAACATTTAATAGTGTTCCCACAGAATCCCTCTTTATGTAAATTCTCTGTATTTGTATAGCGCCTTTCTAGTCTTTTCGACCACTCAAAGCGCTATTTACACTACATCTGCATTCACCAGTCATACACATTCATACACTGAGCCTAAGTGCTCAAACCGAAACTCACACACATACATACGCTGGTGAAAATTCATTATCAAGTCACAAAGTAGGACTCCTATGCTAATTTCAGTCCCTCCCAAATCGATCATCTTGTTGATAGTGCTGCAGGCTCGCTGCGAATGACACTCAACTCTGTAGCCCCTCTAAAAAAGAAAATACTAAAACAAAGACGGTTAGCTCCATGGTATAATACTGAAACTCGCAAATATTAAAAAAAAAACTCCCACCAAAGTGG